GTTACAGTCCTATGGCGTTTGTACATAATTTGGAACACAGCCAAGTCTATCACTAACCTATGCTAGTGCTAGTGCAGTCGTAAAGTCACAATGACTGCAAGTATTTGTGTGAAAAACACTCCCAGGCCAAAAATATAAAACAAGCACGTGACCACGTCACATGCGCAGGTATTCTAAAACACAAAAGTAACGTGTTCAGACAGGAAAAGCACATCACCTCTCAATAAGCATGGCTTGGCGATGAGGCGGGATCTGGAAGAGCAGCTGATTGGCCAGTTTGGATGGACTGTGCAGCAGACGCTCGCACATCTGGAAAGTTCTATACTGGTCCATGGTATCACTCAACAGCACGTCCGCGTTTGCCTCGCACTCGTCCAGTGCTCCGCCCTCCATTCGAACTTTCACTGCATCGTTTACTGTTCCGGACAATAAATATGTTTCATTCAAACTTGTTTAACCAACAGATTCCCATTTAAAATTGACTTGTTAAAGTATAGATATAATTAGTTGGGTGGCTGGAATATGTCCAGTTAGTCTCCATGTGAATTTATAAATGTAAGTCTCTTGTTAGTAAAGGTAAAACATATATTTAAATAAATATCTCCTGAAATATGAATGGTGTGGCATTCATTACCTGTATATCCATCTAACCAGAGCTGATAAACCTCCTCGTCCATGATAGTGGTGTTACCCACGAACACATCCAGCTCCACAGCCATCTGCTTCAAGACCATATGTCAAGAAATAACAAGGTTAGTCATAAAAAAGCTGGGCTTTGTAAAATGAAAGTGCAGCAATCTGCATTAGACTTTATGGATGGATGGAAAGATAGATTAAAAAAAACTGCGAGTGAAGGTGAAAGTTATTATTTCCCATTGACCCTGAAGGAAACACCAGACTGAAAGACATACAGTAGATGCTTTCGATTTATCAAAGAAAAAAAAAAGAATTTACAAAATGTTTAGCCATCCAATAACACATTACCTTGTTTTAGTCTCCTCCCAAACGACGTCAGGCAATTAAATACAAAGACATCTTTTGGTGAATTCGCTTCACTAGGCCGACTAGTATGGGCTAGCTTCGAGTCGCTAAATCGCGAAACATACAGTGAACACACACTCACTCAGACCAAAACGAAATAGCTAAATGATAAAAAATGGAAGTGTACTGTGAGTTGACAAGCTATAGTCTTTCTCAAGGTTTCACATGGGGCGATTGTATGAGACTAATGTGACGTACAGAACTGTCAACAACAGCCGTCACATACACACAAACAGATACGCCTACTTCCGGGTTCCGTCACCGGAAGTGATTTTAACACTGCAAGTCGAAGAGATAGAAAACATAACCCGTCTGGTTTGGTCATGACGTAATGCACCGTACCGCCTTACAAATATAGCGTTTGTGTTCACTATTTCCTTACATAATACTCAAAGTGCTTTACATAATCATGTTTACTCCCGCGCTTTTTCTTTTTTTTATTATTATATCGAATATTAGCAATTATGTGACACATGTACTAACATTGTTTTCATAACTGTCAATAATTTGAATGTTAGAATTCTTCCAAATGAAATGGCTGTTTTAGTCCCCCACAAAACGTTTTTTTACAGTGCAAGGACATGCTTGATGCATTGTGTTTCGTGCTTTGCAGATTATTTTTTGTTTGTTTGTGCTGTTACAGAGTTTAATCAATCCAACGGACAACTTATGAATAAAATTGACTTCAAACATGAACTTTTTTTTGTCTGGGTTGTTAAAAGGGTTGATTTTCAGAAGATGAGCAATGAAGGGCAGCTGCTGAACTTTTATACGTTGAACCCCTTGCCGTAGAAAAAAGTCTGCTTGGAACCGGAATGGATGACTGACAGTGGCAGATTTGCCTATTAATTATTTCCCACTTTCTCAAAATAAACCAGACCACATCTGCTCTTACTTGATCTTCTGCGTGAAATACACAATCTGCTCCCCCGCTGGCGATTAATCCAAATAAATCCCCATAAATCCCTGGTTACACCCTCCCTTTTTCGGTCCTGCTGCATGTGTCCTATACACGGGGATGTGAGGCGGCGAGGGGGTGGTGGGGAGACGAATCCCCGGTTGTCAAATCCCTCGCTGCACATTTATTTTTTGTGAGTTGTAAACTCACATGACACTCTGATGCCGTCACCATTGGGTTAACACCCTGCATTGTCCTGCTCTCCATGCAACAAAGGAGGTGGGACACAGGGCGGAAGGATGTGTGAGTGAATGCCTCAGCACAAAGGTATTGGAGGGGTGGGTAAGGGCGGG